GCCCCTAAAGCACCAATATAGTTACCGACTTAAGTACTTACATATATATATATATATGTGTGTGTGTATATACATATATATATATATTTATCTATCTATCTATCTATCTATCTATCTATCTATCGATCTATTTACACATGCATGCATACATACATCTCATATATATATATACAGATATGTATATGTATATACAGAAGTAGATGAAACATAACTACTGCACATGAGTTTGTGCTGTCTCCTCGTTTGTGCATATGCATATGCGGTCACATACGTGTACATTTGTAGAAATACGCATAACAAGCAACCAAGCACGCAACAGGCTGATTAATAAACACACATGTAAACATGTCTAAGCAACTACTCAAACAAACAGAAAACCAGGCAAAGAGCAAATGCACAGCAAAGTACAGAATGGATACATAAACAAGGACATATGCACGTATTACAAAATATAAATATGCAGATAGATAAATACATGAACGGATATATATATATATATATACATATATATATATATACATATATATACGTACATACATACAACGTACGGGTGCCTGGGGTTTGGACTGAAGTCTTTGTGGATTTCGCGGCGTGCAGGTAGGTTGCTGCAGAAGAATCACAGAATCAAGCGGAGTCCTGATATGGTGTTGCCGCACTTTGCTCACCAGGTATTTTAAGTAGCTGCGCCATGGATGTTTAAACAGCACGGAGATTCGGGGATTTTTACCACATAGTTTATGGTCTCTGTTTCCACCTCGCCATACTCAGACTGGAGATCAGCAACAAAATTCTTCAGGGCGCACAAGTCATTTTTCTGCCGGTTGGCTGCTGCAGCTTCCAGAGCCATGGGCCATGCTGGATGGGGCGGAGATACGCTGAAGGCAGTGGAGAAAACTTCGGGATCTTTAGGAATGTTGGGCAGTCGGGCCGGAGGCATTTATTGTTCCTGCCATGGCCATCTCACGCCTTCTCGTCGTTCGCTACAGTTCCAGCTCTTGCTATTTTCTCTCCCGCCTGCTTCTTTTCTGAGTGCAGATTACGTCCTACTGCCAGCCTCAAAAGGGTTCCCTTGGTTGTTGCTTTGTCAAGGCAAAGTCTGCTCTCAGCAGCAGCGCCCTCCTGGCGTTGGTGGACTCAGGCAAAGTGTTTCGATCTGCTTGCAACCTGTGAAGACACGATCTCGGTTCTTTCGGGGCGGCCGTGCAGAGCATAGTCCGCCGCCATCGGCCCATCAAAGAGAGTGCAACTTTTTTGGGTCAGTTTGGTGCTTCCTCGGAGGCCAGCAGGTCATCCGATGCAACTTCACCGCACTGGCCGCCGATGTGGCGGCGTCGCTGGGCCAGCGGCTTGTCGAGCGCGGCACAGTGCGGAGTGCCTGGGACATCCGAAGGAGATGAGTCTTGAGAGGGTGATGAAAAGGGTAATGGTGCTGATAGATGATGATCACATATGAAGATCATGACGCTGATCATTTTGATGACCCGGTAACAATCCTTACGACGTTACGATTCCGCTATGATAATATCAACGAAATGGATCTTGCGATTAGCAGTGAAAGGTTAACAGGTGATGGCGTGATGTTGGTGGTCGCTGTATTCGCTGTTATGGTAACGGTAGTGATGTTGCTGATGCTGCTGATGATGATGTTGACTTTGATGGTGGTGCTGGTGATGACGATGATGATGATGATGATGATGATGGGTGCGGCATTCATGATAGCAAGAGGAAGCTCAATTGCAATCGTCGTGATGTTGCAGTTGATGATGGCTTGTGGCGTTTATTGCCGTGAAGATGAAGCGGGGTTTAGTTTAGATGAGGGGAACCCGAGCCAAGAGTGTTTCGATTTTCTATAATATAACTTATAATATAATATGATACAATCTAGTATAATATAATATATAATCCTATAATATACACCGAGGCCTGGATCTGTGCTACTGTGAGCTCGGGGCACTGGGTGTGGAGGCAGCGGTCTGCAGAGAGCCGGGGGATCTTGGGTGCTTTGTGTGGGTTTCTTTGTCCTGACCTGCCTAACGCCTAGCAAAGCCTTTGGGAAATGCCCATCTCCTGTTATTCATAGTTTCGGGTTTCGAAGTTTGGAATTTTGGTAAGTAAAGCATTGAAGAGCGATTCAAGCAGTCTTGGTTGATCTGCAGGGTCCAGACGTGTAGGGCGCTGGTGTTCGCACATCGTCGGTGCTTGCTGTTGCTGTGAGTTCTCATGTCAGGGGCTGACTGTTGTATCCGTATGCACTGGCTTCAGTAAATGTTTGCTTTCCTCTTGCTACATGCATATATCTGAGACAAGTAAACAGAACAAGCAGCAGTAGTCGTTTTGGTCATCGTCCTCTTCCTCCTGCCCCTCCTCCTCCTCCTCGTGATGATCGTCGAGGTCGTCGTTGTCGTGTCTTTTTCCTGGACTTCGTCGTCCACTCATTGTCAGCACGAACAGCCGTTTTTGCAATCATATGAGTAGGAACAGACTCACGACCCCAACAATAGCCACGGCGGCAACCACAAGGACAAGAGGAAGCACAACTATGAGTTTCGTTCTTAGCAACAACAGCTATGCTGATGGTTGATAGATTTACTGTAGCCCATCCGCATCAATGTGGCGGTAGTACTATTTTAAGCAAGGATAATTGCAGCCAGCCGGCAGCTTGATGAATAGCTGAAAGAAGGAATCAATACCCACCTCTCTCTCTCTCTCACTCTTTCTGTTCATTGCAAAATACACAACGGAGTCTTCAGGTGGGCATCGATGTCATGTATGTATACAAAATAGTACAGGTCTACGAGCATGTGTATATGCATGTAAAACCAGTATACATGCCTATGTATGCATGGATGCTTTGATATGCTCGTCCAAGTTTGCACATACATTCATTTACAGACGTATACAGGCATGCCTACATTCCCACCTTACATACGTATGTGCATGCATGCAATATCGACCCTCTCACGACGCGCGCGCCCACTCGTCCGTCCGTCCGGCCGTCCATCCATGCATCCATCCATCCATCCATCCATCCATCCATCCATCCATCCATCCATCCATCCATCCGTCCCTCCGGCCATCTATCCATCCATCCATCCAGACATACACCCACATCCATTCATCCATCCATCCATCCGTCCATCCATCCAGACATACACACACCCACAGACAGGCATCCGTCCATGCATCCACACAGGCAGACTTGCAGACTTGCGTGCATGCATGTGTACGAGCATGCACAAGTACATACATAGTTACATACATTCATACATACATACATACATACATACATACATACATACGTGCATGCATACATGCATACATACATAAGCACACATGCCTACATATCCACATGCCCCCCAGACATACCTGCCTGTATACATATATGGATGCATGCATGCTTGCATGCTACGTACATACATATATACATACGCACATACGTACATAAATTCATACATACATACATGCATACATACATACGTACATACATACGTACATGCATGCATACATACATACATACATACATACATACATACATAGGCACATACATACATACATACATACATACATACATACATACATTCATACACACACACGCACACACGCATACATACATGCACACATACATACATACTTACTTACTTGCTTGCTTACTTACTTACTTACTTACTTACTTACTTACTTACATACATACATACATACATACATATATACAGGCATGTATAAACACGGGCATGCATACATACGTGCACGCATGCAAGCACACAGACAGGCAGAGAGAGAGAGAGAGAGAGACAGACAGCCAGCCAGCCAGGCAGGCAGGCAGGCACACAGACAGACAGACAGACAGACCGACGGACAGACAGACAGGCAGGCAGAGACAGACGTTTAGCGCCTGGGCGGAAATTTACGACTTCATGCTAGGAGGCCTGACTGGATTTTACTTAAGTCTCAAACCCATTCTCTGTGCAAACACCACCTACGAGCCATCGAAGCTCAATGTACCTTCGCATCAGGTCTGGCAGCTATATGCACTCATGCATGCAATGCATGTGCGTGTCCGTACATAGCTACATACATGCATACATCCATGCATGCATTTCTACATACATAGCATGCGTAGACGCATGCACGCATGCGTACCCGAAGCCCGAACTCCCAAGTCGGACACCCTCTGACTGTAAGGCACTGGCTGCTTCGATAGCTCGACCTTCCGGGCTGAGGCAGCTATCGCAGCTGGGCAGTGACATAATGAGGACTGAATACAGTAGGGGTTTGCCTAGGCGTTCCCCTTTGCCGGGTGTAGAGCTGCAGGGCAACAGTTACAATACGTTCCGTAAGACATGGCTGGCCATCTGAGCTTTCGAGAGATGTCCGGGGCGTGCACGAGTCGAGGCTGCTTGCGCATCTGAGGCTAGGCGCAAATGCCATGACCGCCAGGGGGGCCTGCGCGGCGGCGTCATTGGCCTCCGGCCCTTTGGCAGGTTTTGCAGAATCCAAGGGTTGCAGAATTCTGCTCTGAACTTCGTGTTCTTTTTCGAGCTGGAGGGTTGCAAAGGCGGGGTTTTTCGGCCCCCACACCCCGAAAATTCCTGAAGCTTGATCATTCAACAAATGTTGCGCAGCTGTAGGCCTCAAGCGGCTGGACCTGGAAATCAACCAGCTTGGGGACGAGGAGGGCCCGTGGTTCATGCACACCCATTGTGATGGGAAGCAGAATCCTGTTATGCTTGTTTCTGCTGCTTGATAGGATCCTAAACCCTAACCCCTAAACCCTAACATGAGTTTCGGCACGATGGTTTCGACTCGGGGGTAAGCTTGGCAGCATGCCCGTGGATGGCTTTACTCGCCGGCCTTGACATTGAGAGTCCCCGGATCGTCTCCGTCTCCTCCCTCGCCTAAACTGTATTATATATTTCATATATTATACTACATTATATATTCTATTATATATATATATATGATATCATATCATATATATATATATATATCTATATTGTATGACCTTTCAGAGCCACCCCGAAGATCTTTGTCTGTCGTTTCAGCCGATGCAGGAGTCGCGAAACCCTGACTGTCAAACCTATCGCGCCCGACCCAGGTGCTTTAAAGCGTAGCCCTTCGAAGCCTAAGCCATGATCCTCGAGCCTCTGAAACAAAGCGAAAAGCTTGGGCTTGGGCTCCCAAGCCAAGAGCTTCGGGAAACCTTGGAGCCTTTCTCCCCAGATGCCCTAAACCCCTACGTAACCCTGGGAGCCCTAACACCCTCAAACCCGAAGCACTGAAACCTCAACAGTCTCTTTCTTACCTTGAGCCCCCTCAAGGGATGCAAGTTCGTGTCGCAGAAGGCGGAGTCTTTCAGGGACCTCTGGGACGGAGATTCTTTCTTGAGGATTCTGTAGCTCTTGCAGAGTTGAGGGTTGGTTCCTCCTGAAGCTCAGATTCTAGGCTTATCGGTTTTGGTCGCAACTCAGGGGCTAAGCGTGTATCTGCATGTGTATATATACATATATATATATATATATGTACACATATATATATATATATACGTATAGATACACACTTATATATGTATATGCGTCCCTGTGTATATGTATGGATGGATGTATGGATGTATGGAT